ACTGTTTGAGAGTCCCAGACTTGGCCTTGAATGCTGAGCTGCCAGGTTGATCATCCGTGCATCCCATGGCATTCCAGACTTGGCCTCAGACCCTGGGCTGCCAAGTTGACCAGCTGTCCCTCAGAAGCATCACAGTCTTGGACTCCTGTATCGAGCTGCATTGACCAGTAGTCTGAGGTGCCCCGGACTGGGCCTCTGGTGCTGTTCTGTGGGGTTGACCAACTGTGAATTCTGTGGCATAGGGAACTTGGTCTCAGACACCCAGCTACCAGGTGAAACCAGTTGTTTGTCCCAAGCATCCCACACGTGGTACAGTGTTGGGCTGCTGGGTCAACCCGGTATCTATCTGGGGTGTCTCAGACGTGACCTCAGATGTTGTGAAGAGTTGACCAGCTGTCAATTTGAAGTATCCCAGACTTGGCCTCCAGTGTTAGGCTGCCAGGTCAACAAGCTGTCCTTCCTGATCACCCTAGTGTCCTGGATTTGGTTGGCAGGTTCACCAGCTCTTTGACCTGGGCATCCCAAACTTGGCCTCAGGTGCTGGTCTGCCAGGTAACTAGCTGTCCTGTTTGGGCATACTGGATTTGGCTTTAAGTGTCAAGTTTCTGGATCAACCACATGTCAATCCTGGGCATCCCTTGTATCCCTGACTTGGCCTTGGGTGCTAGACCGTCAGGTAAACCAGCTGACAATCCTAGGAGTCCTAGACTTGGCATCAGGCACTGGGCTGCTGGGCTGACTTGGGTGTCCTGTGTGTCTCGGAGGGTCCCAGACTTGGCCTTGGGCACTGAGCTGCCAGGTCGAGTTATCACTGGCATCTCAGGCTTCCTGAACTTGGCCTTGGATACTGTACTACTGGGTCAACCAGCCGTCCATCGCAAGTGTCCTGGACTTGGCCTCTACTGCCCGACTTTAGTTGACCACCTATATGTCTTGGGCCTCCCAGACTTAATCTTGGGTGCTGGGATACTGAATCATCCAGCTCTTTGTCCCATATGTCCTAGACTTGGCCTTGGGCACTGAGCTGCTGTGTCTACCAGCTGTTTTCCCTAGGCCTCCCAGACTTGGACTTGGGCGTTGGTCTTCTGGGTTGAAGAGCTGTTTGTCCTGGGCATCCCAGACTTGGCCTTGGTCACCACGTTGCTGGGTTGGCCAGCTGTCTTTCCAGGGTGTCCCAGACTTGGCCTTTTGTGCCAGGCTGCCATGTCAACCAGCTGTCTGTCCCAGGCATCCTGGACTTGACCTCTAGTGCCAATGTGTGAGGAGACCACTGTCCTTTCTGGGAATCCTGGAGTTGGCCTCAGGCTTTAAGCTGTCGTGTTGACTTGTCTGACCCAATCATCCTAGATTTGGCCTCTAGCACCTGGCTGCCAGGTCAATCACCCATCTTTCCAAGGTGTCCCAGCCTTGGCCTTGGCCCTGGGCTGCCTGCTCAACCAACTTTTTGTCCCAGACTTGCCCTCTGGAATCAGGCTGCTGTTTTGACCAGTAGTTTGTCCCAGGCATCCCATATTTGGCATCAGGTGATGAGCATCCAGGTCAACCAGCTGCCTGGCACCCTGAACTTGCCTTAGGTAACAGGCTGCTGAATCAAACAGCTGTCTGTCCCAGGCATTCTGGATATCTTGGACTTAGCCTCAGGCATGGGGCTGCCCAGTCAAACAGATATGCATCCTGGTCATTCAAAACTTCCCTTGGGTACCTGTCTGCTGGGTAGACCACCTTTCTGGTCCCAGGAGTCACGAACTGGCCTCAGGCACTGAGATACCAGATGGACCAGCCATTCATTCTGATCTTGGACTTGGCCTCGGGCACTGGGTTGGCCAGTTGCCTGTTCTGAGTGTCCCTGTCTTGGCACTGGCACCAGACTGGGGGGCCAACAGTCATCCTAGTCATCCTGGAATTGGCCTCACAAGACAGGTTGCTGGTTTAACCAGCTGCTCATCCTGGGCATCCTAAAATTGACCTCAGGTGCTGGACTGCTGGGTTGAACACCTGTCCATTTGGGCATCCTGGACTTGGCCTTGGGCACCAGGATACTGGCCTGTCTAACCATCAATCTTGGGCATCCCAAACTTAGCCTCTGGATTCAGGTTGCCATGTCAACTAGTAGTTTGTTTTAGACATTCCATACTTGGCCTGGGGCTCTGGGTAACCAAGTCAACCAGCTGTCCAGCCTGGTCCTTCTGAACTTTATGTCAAGTGCCAGGCTGCCAGGTCTACCAGCTGTTTGTTCTGGGTATCCTGGACTTGGCCAGAGTTTCCAGGCTGCTGAATAGACTGGGCTATTCATTCTGAGCCTCCTGGGTGTTCCAAGACTTGGCCTTAGACTTCAGAGTGCTGGGTCAGCCAGCTGTCCACCCAGAGGATCCCACCTAGGGTGCTGGGCTGCTGGGTCAATCAGTTGTTTGTACCAGTTTTCCCAGACTTGGTCTTGGGCACTAGGCTGCTGGGTTGGCGAGTTATCCATCCTGAGCTCGGCCCTGGGTGCCAGGTTTCCAAGTGACCAGCAGTCTGACGTGGGCTCCTGAGCATCCAAGACTTGGCCTCAGGCACTGGGCTGCCAGGTCAATCAGCTGTTTGTCTTGGGTGTCTTGGGCATCCTGGACTTGGCCTTGGGCACTGGTCTGCTGGGTTGACTAGCTGTTTATCAGTCCAATTGCAGTCCAATTCTGATGAAGTCCATTTGTTTTATATTTTGTTGCTTGTACCTTTGGTGTCATATTTAAGAAACCATTGCTAAATCAAAGGACATAAAGATTGGCCTCTATGTTTGTTTGTTTGTTTTCTTTCCCCTAAGCGTTTTGGAATTTTAGCTCTTGAATCCATTTTGAGTTAATTTTTGCATATGGTGTGAGATAAGGTTCCAACTCCACTTGTTTGCATGTTGAAAACTGGGATATCCAGTTTTCCCAACGCTATTTGTAGAAAGACTGTTTTTCCTTCATTGGATGGTCTTAATGCCTTTGTTGAAAAATCCACTGGCATGGGTTTAAATTTTAAGTCTCAATTTCTATTCCATTGATCCCGCAGCTTGACTGAATTCGTTTGCTAGCTCTAACAGTTGTGTGTATGTGTGTGAATTTTTTAGGATTTTCTACATATAAACTTTTGTCATCTGTAAATAATCTTACCTCCTACTTTCCAATTTGGATGCTTTTTGCTTTGCTTGCCTAATTGCTCTGGCCAGAGCCTCCAATGAAATGAATGTTGAATAGAAGTGGTAAAGGTGGATGTCTTTGTCTTGTGTTCTGATCTTAGGAAGAAAGCTTTCAGTCTTCCAAAACTGAACATGATGCTAGTTGTGGGGTTTTATACATGTCCTCTATCATGTTGAGGATGTTCCCTTTTATTTCTACTTATTGAGTTCTCTTATTCTGAAAGAGTGTTGGCTTTTGTCAAATGCCTTTTCTTCATCAGTTGAGATGATCGTGTGGATTTCTTCCCCCTTCATTTTACTAATGTGGTATAGTTTGCATTTCATATATCGAGCAGTACTTTAACCCCTGGGATAAATCCCACTTGACCATGACGCATAATCCTTTAATATGCTGCTGGATTCTGTTTGCTGGTATTTATCAAGGATTTTTGCATCTATACTCATGGGGGATATTGGTCTCTAGATTTTTCTTGTGAGATCTTTGTCTAGGTTTTGTATTAGTGTAATGTTGCTCTCACAGAAATCCTAAGTGTTCCCTCCTCTTCTACTTATTGGAAGAGTTTAAGAATTGGTGTTAGTTTTTCTTTAAATGTTTGGTAGGATTCACCTGTTTTGTAATTTGTGTGCTTGTTAGAATTTTCCCATTTCATCTAGAGTATGCAATTTGTAGGTGTATAATTGTTCACAGTTTCTTATAAACCCTTTTATTCCTGTGGGGTTGGTAGTGTTGTCCCAACTTTGTTTCTGACTTTAGTTACTTGAGTCTCTCTACTTTTTTCTTAATCAATCTAGCTAAAGGTTCATCAATTTTTTCATTTTTTCAGAGAAACAACTTTTAGTTTGTTGATTTTCTCTATTGCTGTGTTGTTCCCTATTCTATTCATCTCGGCTCTAATATTTATTTTTTAGGTTTACTTTGCTCTTTTTCTGGTTCACAAAGGGCATCTTCTAACTGACTCCTGGCAATAGCTAGCCTCAGGATCACCCTCTCCAGGGTGAGCTAAAAACTTACAGACTGGAGTGGCCCAGGCCAGACAGGCACCATGCTCCCAACGTGACAGCCCAGGCCACCTCCAGGCTTGTTTCACCACTGAACCTCTTCTGGCTGGGTATGACACCTAACAGTTGACAGGCTGACCTGGACTCCTGTGGACCTTCTTACTGCCTTAGTTGCCTTGTACTCTCTGGGAACCAGAAGGCTAGTTAAGTTTAGCTGAGGAGCACTACCAATGGGCACAGTGCCCTGCCTGCTGCCAGATATTGCCCTCTGTACACTTCTCTCATTCCTTCACAGGTACTAGTCGTTGTCATCTGTGCCCACAGGCATCCCAGAGCACTCACCCACCCAATGGGTCTGACAACTTCAGTTCTATCTCCATGACTTACAGCACCTGCCTGTTACCCTCCCAGGGGTCCTGGCCCTGCCTCCCACCGTGTTCTCAGGCTAGATTCCATCAAGGCCAGCTGAGAGTGATGGACTTACCTACCCCCCTCCCCCAGTAGAGGAGAGACCCCACTTCACATACCTTGCTCTTCACCAGGTGAGGGGCAGCTGAGTCCCACTGATGTTGTCTGGTGCCACTGCAAGTGCCAGACACCAAGGACTTTATGAGACCACAGGAGATGGGGTCAGTGGGAAGGGAAAAGTTAAGAGGAGGTGAGAGGGTGATTGATTTTTTTGTATAAAAGGTAAAAAAAAGGTTTACTATAGTTGTAAATAGCAAAAGCTGTACTGGAATATTATATTAAAATCCCATTTCTACTATAGCCTGGGAGTTGTGGTTTTGTTCTTTCATTTCTTGTGTTTAAAAAGAGATAGACACTCTCACTCTTCATTCAATAAGTCTTTTGGGCCATCAGTTTATTGTATGTGGAAGTAGGAAGGGCCAGCTACCCTTCTCTGAAGGACATGCCCAAGTCCATCTTTCACAGAGATGTTTGTTTCAGTATCATTAAACTGGGCAAGGAGCTGAGAAAGCCCCTCAGAACTCAGGGGCTTGGAGGGAGGTTGAAGGTACTTTCACAGGCATAGCAACAACCACTGAAAACTGGGCATCTTTAAAAGTAACTCTTGCCAGGACCATTTCCTGCCCCAGGACAATGGCTGCTTTTCTACACTCTGGCGAGTGTAGAATTCTATAAGCCCTAAGTGGGGAAAATGGTTAAAAAAAAAAAAAAATACAACATGGAAAGGAAAAAGCCAGAGGAAGATTATTTGCAAACAGACTGAGGGCAGGCAGGATTTTTCATCATCCCTCCCCACCAAGGTCAGCACTCTACCTAAATTTGAATACTCCTCTGACTTCAGAATTCCTTTTCCTGCTTATTTCTTATCCAGGGGAAAGATTTGTGATGCAGAGTTTAGGCCTATAGCTGGGTGTCATTCTATAAGCATCCCTGCAATGCCCTGTATAATTGTTTTAACCCAGAAATGCCCTAGATGGCCCCCAGTCCACCATCAGGTACACTGATCAGGTACATCAGGTCACTCCTCTCTGGCTGGGGCCTGATGAATGTACTTTGGTTATGTCAAGGGGATGTCAACCTTTCATGTCGGAAGGGCTAAAAGATGCAGCCTGATAAGCAGGGGAGGAGGTGTACCACCAGGACCAACAATCCATGGGCAGCACAGACACAGCTCTACCAATTAAACACTAGAGTGCTTCCAATCTGGGTGGGAAACACACACTGCCCTGCACTCACCTGAGTGCTCTCCTGGGGCTTCTCCCAGGATTGGAAGCTAAAGGGCTAATGCCAGGCACAGGGAGGGAGCCCCTGGGACCCTATACAGCCTTCAGCCTACACCCTGTCACCTATTTTCAGTAACATCCCCTAAATATACAACCTATAAAGGCAAGAGACAGATGAAATGCAGGGCAATTCTGAGTTACCCTTTCCTCCGTGATGGCTCTGTCACTCAGACACAGAGCAGGGCTCACCTCTGCCAGGCCCTAAGTGATTTGTGCAAGTGACTGTTGAATGCAAATGGGAGTGCAAGAAGCAGACACAGAATAGAGCAAAATGGAGCAAATGATTGAGGAACTACAGATAGCGATTGCAAAGGAGTTGATTATTGATGGCTTAGTGGAATTTGGATGGTGCAGAATGTGCAAGGAAAGTGACTGTATAGGAGGGGAAGCTGGAATAGTTAAGAGCAGTTGACAACATGGCCCCCGGGAGTATGCAGTGACTTGCAGTGGGTGCGACAAGACGTTGTTGAATAGCACACAGTGGGTGTGTGAGAATAGAAAATTTGATGGGAGCATGGGAGGAGCAATTGTTAAATGCTGCAAGAGTGTGCTGGAGTGAAAGTGGGATGCACATGCATAGATTGGCTGTTGAACTGCACATGGCGAGTGTGTGAACAGTGACTGAATGGCAAAGAGGTGTGCAAAGCGTTAAGTCAAATGGAAATACAGTCATTGGCTTTTGAATTGCACAGTGAGTGAGCAAGGAGACACTGGTCAATATCATAAGAAGTGGGCACTGGATGAAGCAGAGTGACCAGTGAATATGCGGGGAGTGGTTACAATGGTGCATTTTATGTGCCAGTGTGGTCAGGTCATGGTGCACAGTTGTTTGGCTAAATGCCAGTGTCTGGATGTTGCTGTGAACTCAACCGACTTTAAGCAGATTACCTTCCATAACGTGGGTGGGCCTCATCGAATCAGTTGAAGATCTTAAGAGCAAAGGACCTAGGTTTCCCGAAGAAGCACTTCTGCCTCTAGACTGCAACACAGAAACCCTGCCTGAGTTTCCAGCCTTCAGACTCAAGACCGCAAGGTCAACTCTTCCCTGGGTCTCCAGCCTATCCTGCAGATTTAACAATCAACAGCCCTTAACACCTCTCTTTCTACACATACTCTATTGGTTCCATTTCTCTGGAGAATCCTGAAACTCTGACTATTGGGTGTAATATAGGTGTGCAAGAAGTGGAAACTGGATAGTACATACAAGTGTAAAGAGTCTGCAATGACAAAAAATTCTGGGCAGGGCAGAATGAGTGCACAAAGAGTCGTTGTTGAATCAAACACTGTTTGCAAAGTGACTTTAGATGGCGGATAGTGGGTGTTCAGTGAGTTGAAGTAGTATGGTGCAGAACAGGTGTATGACGTGTGGAAGAGGCCCAGGTTCCAGCTGGCCTTTTGGGCCCTACCTGGCCTGCAGGGAGACCTTGGGCAAGGCCCTCTCCCTCACTGGGTATGCAGCTGCTAGGGTGGGCTTAGTCTCTGAAGGGGAAAGGTGGTGCTGTAGCAAGCAGGAGGGGGATAAACTCACTGGTGCTTTGCCTTGCCCTACTGCCAGCAGGGCCCAAGTGGCACGTCAATGATGTACCTATGACACTTGGGGGGCTTGCATGAAGGACAGCACATGAGGCCTAGAGCCCTGACCAACAGACATCTTTGGCTCAGGATCCTGCTGGGGAGGAGGTGGGCACAGGTGGTTCTAGTGTGGGATAGAGACACAGGCCTTTGGTCTTGGGGCTGCCTTGGGGCCCAGTGTCTCCACCCTACACTGAGGGTCTTGCTCCAGTGGGAGATGTGTGGACTCATGCAGGGATGTGGTGCTACTGCAGAGGGGGCCCTGCCAGACGAGCCAGCTGCCCTGCACTGCTGAGGATGGGAGGCCTGTCAGCTTGGATGCTGGCCTTTGCTGAGGGAAGGCTGGGGGGGTGGGGGAGAAGAAAACCTAGCCACATGCCACCCCCACTCCTGAGTCCCCAGCACATTTCCAGCCTCCTTGCTGTGGGTCCAAATGACCAACACCTCCCCATGCACCCCCCCTCACCAGATCCAGTTCCCAGTCCTGGCTGGGCCTCACGAGGACAAGGAGCCTGGACCCTCTGGACAGGCATTGGGGCCCCAGGGATGCCAAGAGACAGCCAGGACCTATCAGACCCCAAAGAGCAGGAATTGTGCCTGGGACGCCGAGGTGACAGTTCAACAGGGAGGTGACACATCCCAGGCCACAAAGGAGGACAGAGCTTTATTTCCAGAAGGGACCCTTGCACAGGGTGACTGCCTTCCACACTGGTGCCTCGAGGGTCCCCCAAGGATGTGCTGCACCCGATCCTTGTAGCATGCACTAAAGGGATGTGGTGGCGGCCACAGCCTCCTCCAGCTGCTGTAGGAGCTCCTCTGGCCGTGGTGAGAATGCACTGGTGTCCACTCTCTGGAAGTCAGGGTGGGCCACCACCGACTCCAGCACCTCAGCTATGCGGCAAATGTCAAAAGCGGCCTGCTGGGGGCCCAGCCCGGTGCCCTTGCCGCCCTCCACCTTGCCAGGACCCATCCCCTTCGCCAGGAGGAGAAGCCTCCTTTCAGCAACGACCTTGAGGAAGTGATAAAATTCCTCGAAATTAATCCCGGAGCAGGACTTCATGATGACCTGGGCCAGAAAGAACAACCAGTGAGCTGCTGCTCACTCACAGCTCTAGGCAAGTTCTGCTGACCCTGCATCGAGTCTAGGCTACAAAGGGCCCTGAGACACAGTCCAGTCCTCGAGGATGGAGACACCTGGGGGCCAGCCAGTGATCAAATGGGTCTGAGTCCTGCAGCCTGGAAGCCCCAGAACCCTCACTCAAATAGGTAGGCCTGGTGGCAACCAGGCCCCCAAGACTACAGATCTGACCTTAGAGACCACACCCTCCCTTAAGACTGCAGGCTGTCCTGGGGCTTTTCCATACCCTCCCCCCACTGACGCCCTGGGCCAGGTGAGCACCCTCTTGCCCTTGACTGTGGTCCTGGTTCAGGTGAGCCCCCTACCAATCCTCCCACTATAGATAGCCCTGGTGAGCCTCATCCTGTGCCCCCCCTCCTGCTCAGACCAGTTGTCCCACCTGGCAGTGGTGGTGCCAGTCGGGCATGCTGTCCCTCCACTCAATGATCTCCTGCTGCACGGCACAGAGCTCCTGCTGCAGGAAGTGCCACATGTTGGCCAGGTTACAGCCGTTGACCCAGTTGTGGTTGATGGAGATGGTGTCCTCCTGGAAGGGGTAGGGCACAGGCTGTCCCCGTGAGCCCACAGGGGGCACCGTCCCCTCCCCGTCCTGAGGTCCTCTCAGCTTTCCTCAGCTGGGAGGAGCTGCTTCCATCTCCCAATGGGAGCCAGCAGAGAAGAGGGAGCTGGGATCATTTGAATCCACAATTAGCCCAGAATGGGGCTCCGTAAGGGCTGGGACACCACAGTGTGTGGACCCCTTGCCCACTGTTACCCAGGAAAGCAACACGGGAGGCAGGGAAAGAGGCTGGGGGCCCTCAGCAGTGCTGCGTGCAGGGAACCAATATAGCCACATGCAGTACCAGCCTTGCCCATGGCCTGCCCCATCCCATACCCAGGCTCTCCCAGAGGGACAGCCTGCCCACTCTATGGGATCAGGGCGGGTGGGCTCAGCCCTCTCTCTGCAGGAATGCATTTAGGAAGGTGCCGAGGGCAAGAAGAGCTGCTGAGCAGGCCAAGGGGCACAGGTGAACAGGGGTAAGAGTCAGCTCAGTGGAGCCCTGTGGCCTGTCTCCCTGACCCATCTGGGCCACAGCACATGGGGTAGGGAGTGCCCAGCATACCAGGTTGTGGACTTGATGGTGCCACCCACTGGGCACAAACACCATCTCGCCTGCCTCCTGTGTGACCTCCAGTGGTGGGCTACAGTGATCTCGCATGGGGTGTAGGCGGCTATCCAGGAGTGTGGGGGAGGTCACGTCGTAGGGCAGGCTACCGTGGCAATCCCGCAGGGCTTCTTCTTGCCCCGGTGGGAAGAAGAACCACTTTTTCCTCCCGCAGATGTTGACGGACCAGCTGAAGGAGCGGAAAATGTCAGCATGGAACGGCGACCTGTGCGAGAGCTTCTGTTGGCACTGTGTGGCTTGGATGTGGGCTGTACTTCTTCTGAGTAGACTGGCCAGGCTCAGTGGTCCCCAGCTCTCACACCTGGCCTGTGAGCCAGGTGGGAGGGCCAAACCTCCCCCACCCCAGAACATCACACAGGAGGTGCATGAGCTCTTTCCACAGACGAAAGAGGTAAGTGGGCTTAGAAATGCCAGACCTGGCAGCCGACTCCATTACCTGGCTAACAGGAATCTCTGAGAGGCTCTGGGCAAGAGCTGACACACCAGCAGGAAGGTTCAGGAGAGTGACCAGGGATGGGGTGTAGGATGGTGGGTGGGAGCAGACAGGCGGTTACCAGGTGCCGGTGGGCCCCATGTAGATGAAGCGGTAGTCATCCACGTCCAGGGCATCCCAGTACTCGTTGAGCCAGTCAGATGAGAAGTATATGGGCAGGGTGAACACGCCCTCCGCTGAGGAGTCCCTTTAGAAAGCGGCATGAAGCTACAGCAGAAGTGGCTACAAGCCAACCTCCCGGCACCCACGTCCTGAGTGCATGAAATATCATGAGAGCTTTGAAATTATGTGAATGACCCTGACCTGCCTTCTGGAGTCAGCACCAACCACCAGAAGTGGGGCCACCTCAGACCACCCAGCCATAGTCCAGTCACCAGATGACCACAGCCCCAAGTAGCCCTAGCTGATCCCTGCCCAAATGACTGAACCAGAATTGTAAGCAGATGAAATGGCTTTGGGGGTGCTGTGACACAGCCTAGACAACTTGTACAGGCAGTGACCTAGATGTTCCTGGCCACTCCCACACCCATTCCAGGATTTCAGCTTCGGGCTGAGCTGGGGTTTAAATGCATCATCTGTGTCATGCTGGCTTCCCAAATTTGGGGGCCTCCTCCACTTTTTTAACCACACCAGTGACCTTGATTCTGCCGAGCAGATTCAAAGCCGCAGGCCCAGGCATGAGGACAGCCCAGGTACACGGAGGTCCTTTTCAACCCCTCATTTCCCTGGATCCATCCCCACAACCCAACCAATGGGCTCCCAAACAGAGGAGCATTCTAAACCAGCCCAAGGGAGAGTGCAGTTCTACCAACAACATGGTCACACAACACTCTCGGTCAGAGGCCATGACAGGGGAGAGCCTTAGTAGTACCAAACCACCAGTAGTTCCCCAAAACACCATGCAGGTCCCTCCGCTGCCATGCCTTTGTACAGTGACAGACTCCTGCTTATCGTTCAAAACCCTGCTCAGATATCACCTCCCCTGTGGCTACCCCTGCGTGCCTGATCCAGGCCTTCCTTTGTTCTTTTTATTTTGGGGTTGCCAAGGAAAACGCAAGACACTTCCTCAAGACTGAATTTCAAATAAACAGTGAACAAGTTTCTAGGATAAGTATGCCCCTTGTAATACCTGGGACATACTTATACCCAAAAAGCTACTCGTTGCTTATCTGAAGCACAAATTCACAGTGCACGAGTGTCTGAATCTATGAGTCCATCTGTGCTGTTGGAATGTGAGTCCGTGAGGTCTAGGACCAGAGTTTGGTTGCATCTTAGTGACTATCTGCCGGGCCAGGTCTCTCTGACAAGTAAGAAGCTGTGTGGCAGACAGTACCAAGGGCAAACTTTGAGCAAACTTCATGTACTCTTGGATTGCTCTTGGGAATCACAAGGGCCTGAATTTTTTTTTTTTCTTTTTGAGTCTTAGTTCCTGCATCAGCAAAACAAGAATTCCACTGTTCACTCATTCATTAAATGAGCACCTGATCTGTGCCAGGGCCCTGTGCTAGATGGCGGGGGTCTGACTAGGACCTCCTCTCTGCTTGTGAAAAGCACACCCCTGGCAGGGGAAATGGCTACAAAACCTAAGGACCACCTCAGAGAGTGGGAAGGCCAGCAGAAGGGGTGGGGCTGCCTTCAAGAGCGAGGCGTTTCTCAGAGCACATCCTTTGAGCTCCCCAGGTGGAAGAAGCATATGGTGAGTGGCAACAGATCTCGGAAGGCCTTGTTAAAGAGTTGGCATTGCTTGTTAGTGATGGAGATTTTAAAGGGGTGGGGCACAGTCCTGCTTGAAAGCTCACTTGGACTTTAGCAGTGGGGTGCAGGACTTGAGGCGGGGCAGCTAGTCTGGAGACTGGCAACAGCCAAGGTGGATGATAACAGGCCTGACTTGGAGAAGTAGGTCTGGACAGGGGAGGCTGGTCCCAGGGGCATCTGAGAGAACAGGCAAAGGCTGGATGCTGCCAGTTAGATGGAGGTGAAGCTGACAAGCATGGTTCTGGGCAAATGTGACAAAGAAGAGGTGGGTAACCATAGCCCATCTGTGCCTCTGCCAGGCCCACATTCCCCATAGCAACCAAGCCTGTGCAGGAATGGTGAGATGGCCATGATTGGAGAGAATGACACTTCCAACCAGGCCGAGGAAAATGGGTTAAATTCCGAACTGGGGAAAAGATGAGTTCCTCCGTGTGCAGCCAGGGCTCACTCAGAACTGAAAGACAGTGCTGTGGCCAGTGCTCCAGGCTCCTTTACCTGCACAGATGCCAGTCTTTGAGATAGAGACAGCCCCGTGAAGAGGAGTAGTTTCCCTGAATGTACTCTTTCCAGTAGCTGATGTAGTCTCTGAGGGTCATGTGTTCTTTGGGGTTGGAGTTGTATTCCCGGACCCCACAATTTGCAACAGGTACAACCACGTCTCCTGAAAGGAAAGGGTCAGGGACAAGACTTTTCTGAGAGTCCTCCAGCCTGTCAATCCTCCCTGACCCTGTCTGCCCTCCAACTCATTGCTACACGGTCTCCAGGTGAATTCTTCTGGGGAGTGACTCATGCCTTGCCTCCCTCAAGCCCTCTGTGGCTGTCCTCGTTTGCGCCCTCCCTCACAGTCCGACCTAAGAGTCTAGTCCTGTGTTTGCACTCCATGCTGTTCTTGCCCGGGTCACTCGCGCTCAGTCCTTACCATAGTTCTGAAGCAGATAATCGAAGTTGGGCTTTCCGCTGGGTGTCACCCAGAGCCTCCTGCTACCCCAGCCCTCGGTGAAGGCGCTGGAGAAAACACAGGGTAAGTTAGGGAGCAGGTAACCCTTGAAAAAGTCGGCGTAGGAAAAGGAGTCCGGCTTCTCGATGAAGTCCACGCGGTCCAGTTTCGGGCAGACCCTGCGGGGGAGACACCCCTCGAGGCTTCGGAAGTGGCTCTCGGCGAACACGCGCGCCTCCCTGTCCATCCCGGGCCAGGTTCGGCGTCCCTGGCGTGCGGGGTGCGTGGGGTGGGAGTCTGCCGGGGGGATCTGGAGGGCTGCCGGGAACAGGGCGGGGCTCGGGGGGGGTGTCGGAGGAGCTGCAGGGCACAAGGAGGGCTGCGGGGCGGTCACAGAGGCTGCGCGGAGTCGGAGGAGCTGCTGGGGACGGAGTGCTCCTGGAGGCCCAGAATCCGGCTTCCGGATTCCCACTTCTCTGCTCTTTAAACAGGGAGGTGAAAAAGGAAGTATTTGTTAAACCTGCTTCCGGAGCACACGCTCTGAGAACCCGCGGCTCACAGCCCCGCGCCGGCCAGAGCGAAAGCGGCGAGGTACAGACACTCATAGGCCGCGGTCGTCCCGAAGCACTCGACCGGAACCTAGAGCCCGCGGTCTAAGTTCCTGGCCGAGCCGGAAACACGGCGAGCCAGTTCTTGGGCGCATGCTCGCTGCATTCTACGGCCCTCACCCGGCGGAGGCACAGGAGTGGCCCACAGCACAGTCTTCCCAGCTCCGGGTTCCCCCGCCCCCCCGCGGCTTCAGAGATTGTTGAGCGGTGTCGGCCTCCGGTCTTGTCGACTTCGCGCCTCCCCCGCGACTCAGGTAAGGCGTGTCTCCAGTCTGCAGCTGGGCTTGTGCTCTTCCGTCAGGGTCCCTCCTAACGCTACCGCCGAAGTGAGGACTCCTCCTCTTTCCAATGCTCCAAGGACTACGGAAGGTGGTGGGATGTGGGCTGGGCTACCAGAGAGGCACAAGGGCCAAAGGTAGTGTTCTGAGGGATGCTGGGTGTCTAAGGGGATGCTGGGAACCTGGAGGGGATGCTGGGGGACTAGGGCGATGATGGAGGCCTAGGGGGCTGATGGGGACTTGGAAGGAATGCTGTAACTTGCCGGTGATGGTGGGACCTGGTGGGAATGTGGGAGACTAGGGAGGTTCTGAGGGCCTAGGGCGATGCTGGGGACCCGGAGGAAATGCTGTGGACCCGGAGGAGATGCTGTGGACTAGGAGAGGATGGTGGGACCTGAAGGGCATGGTGGGGACCTGGAGGCATGCTGGGGGACTAGGGCGATGGTGGGGACCCGGAGGGGATGCTGGGGGAATAGGGTGGGTCTGAAGTGAAGGTGTGGGGGCATCAAGGGTGGGGATATGAGGCTGTGCACACCAGCAGACCTGAAATGGGGGACATCAAAGAGGAACTTGGGTGGGGGTGACACGTCAGGGTCTCAGCACGTTGGAGGAATAGATGTCCTTCCTACCCATATCAATATGGAAAGGAAGAAAGCAGTTTCATTACTGTATGAGCAGATTACATGCATGTAAGGCATCTTCAAGAGAGTACAGAGCTGGGCAGAACGTCACACATTTTATACGCAAGGAAGTAGAAGAATGAACTGTTAAGACCTCTCTCACCTCCTTGAGGGAAAAATAGATGCACCATGTAGTCTGCAGCTGATGAGAGACTCCCGCCTCAGCTCTGGAGGTCCGTGTTTACTGCTCTGAGTCAGCAGGTGGTGACTGTGCCGTGTAAAATCGGAACGCTGCGTTTGTTTCATTCCTGACGAAAGGAAACACTCAAAGGGCAGGGAAGGGGCAACTTCTTCCCCTTTGTGAAACAGTGAAGATGTAATCTTGTTTATTTACCCTTATAGATGGCATAAGTGAGATTCTGGGGATATGAGGGCTCTGAGCTTTGGAGCGGGGCTTGAGGGGGGACTCTTTCCAAGGGGTATGAAGCTTATGCAGAAGGTGAACAGCGAGGACCAGAAGTGGGGAAAGGCAGAGAAGGGGAGGACTAGGAAAAAGTGAGTTAGGGAGAGTCTGAAGTCCAGGTATAGGAGGGGTCTAAAGTGGGAGCTGAGAACATGGGCAAGATGTTTGAGTGGAGAGTTCGTTGCAAGCAGAGCAGTGTGAGGGGTTGTGTGATTCTGTGTGCACTGTGCTCCCTTCCCAGTCTGTCTCATTGTACCTCACATGGTCAAGCTGTGGAATTCTTCATTGGGCCAGTGTTGGGCAGAAAGTTAGAATGCACTGGGAAGTTAAAATGGAGAAAAAGAGTCACCCTTAATTCCATCCAGAGATGAACAGTTTTTGTTTCTTGATGTAGAGTTATCCTTCCAGGCATGCACTCATTCATTCATTTTTTTTCTCTTTGTCCCTCCCTGTACACACACACACACACACACACACACACGCACACACACAAAGACACAGTCTCTCTTTCTATTTTATATGTATGTAAGTTTATATATATAAGCTTTTGCTGCTTTTAACTTTTTAAAAAAGATTAACAAATGTCAATTTCTTGCCACATATTGACCAGATGTTCCTTAATTATTTGGTTTTAGTTGTGGTGAGTGCAGATCATGGAAGGCAAATAGAAAAAGTGTGGGAAGCAGAATGTTCATAATTGTCTAAAGAACTGGGAAATAAGGCTCAAAGCTTGCCTCACAGGGGAAATATGAAATTCAGATAGACATTGCCTGGGAAGAATCCCAGGATTCTAGCTTCTGAAGCTCTGTGGTTGAGACTAAGTTTCATAAGAAAGGGGACGCTTTAGGCCAGCAGGTCCACATGCTCCCCAGGATTGTTGGGGCAACTGAACCAGTAACTCAGGGTAGGAAAGAAGGTCTCCTTTCTTGAGCATTTGCCCTGGGCCAGGCATTTTGTCCTGTATTTCCCCTAGTTCACATGATGGCTCGCTGGTGTTGACAGTATTATCACAACTGTACACATGAGGCTCTGACATAACTAGTGAGAAAGGGGACTGGAACACAGGTCTGTGTCCCTCCAAGGCCACTAGACGGCAGCCCTGGCATCACCTGGGAACTGGTGGGAAATGCACATTCTTGGGCCCCACCCAGACCTGACTCAGAATCTGGGAGCAGGGTACTGCTCTAAGCCTTGTCACATCTCAGTGACACACCCCACAGAGGGCCAGAAAGAAAAATGGCAGGAGTGGAGTTTAAAAGTTAGCATTTTGTAGGAGATGCACTGGGAATAACATAAAATCCTAGTTGTCTGCTCTGAGAGGTTAGAAAGATAGCTCGTACCATGTGAATAGGCTGTGTTATTGCGTTGAAACGAACACCCACAAACCTTCCCAGTTGAAAGTGAGAGCCTCTGAGGAGCAGGAGGTGAAGGTAATGGAAAAGACTGGCCACTGGTGCCTGGAGACACTGCTCCCAGTGTTCTGACTCTAAGCCTTCTTGTGGTCAGGAGTTATTGGAAGGTGTATAAAATGTTGCTTGGTCTGTTACTTTGGAAATTAACTAAAAATAGGATGTTTACTTGATACTGAGTCTACTCCAGGACACAGGTCTGATGGAAGTGCTAAGAGAGATCCATTATACTAATTGCAGTGTGTTAATAAGTTCAGTCCCTGTGACCATTCATTTCTTCCCCAGGAGCATCACTGTGTGGATTAGTCTCAAAGACTCTTGAGGTACCTTGCCACGACCTCTTCTCCCTAGTTCAGCAGGCATGTTGTGTTTTCACTGGAAGGTGTGGGTTCCAGTTTACAGGAGGTAAGGACCAAGTAAGGACTCTGTGAACTTAGCATAGAGTGAAGACCTAGTTCAGCAGATAGATGGAAGAAAACTGTCCACAGTGGACACAGTTAATGTTTTCACATCATATGATTTGTGGTTCACTCAACACATATTTAATGGGTTCCTATGGTGCACCAGCATTGTGCACAAGGCACCCTCCTTGTAATGTTTGCCTTCTCCATTGTTTTGACTGAGTTGGTCAACATGTAAGCACATTCACAGGCTTTTTGGAATTATGGTGAGTACTGTGGTTGGTGAGTGCTGTGGTTGGTGAAGGGGCAAGGATGCCACTGGAGCAGAGACCTGGAGAGTGAGGTAGAGTTGGCTGTTCAGAGTCCCAGGAGCAGCAGGTGGGGAGCCTGAGACAGGAACAGAGCAGAGCAGAGAGAGGGTACGGGCTGGTCGGTGAGGCTGTAGTTAGTAAAGCCTACATGACTTGGGTGGCGACTTTGGACTTTACTCGAGGTACATGGGGAAGGGTTTCAGCAGAAGAATGATATTTTCTAATTTTGTTTTATGACTGTCACATTGGCTGCTGGCTAGAGAACAGGTAGTGGGAGGCAGAGTGAAACAAGGAGGTCAGGTGGGAGGTTGTCCAGGAGTGTAATGACAGTGTTGCATAGTCGTGTGGCTGTGGAGATGGGGGGCGGTGCAGACGGCAGATGTGAGATACAACTGCCAAAACTTGCTGACAGATCGAGAGGGATGAGGAAGAGGGGATCCAGGAGAACTCACCTGGCAGTGCCTTCACTGAAATGCAGGAGCAGAAGGAGGGGCTTGCTAAATTGCAGATGCCTGTTAGATGGTCATGTGGAGATGCCCAGGCAATACTCAAGTCTCAGAGAGTCTGGGCTGGAGAGGAAAGTTTGGCAGGCCAGGCAACAGCTGGAAGGTGATATTTAATGCTGTGAAGCTGTGTTGACTCACTTAGAGAGTATTGATTAAGAGGACCAAGGTTGTGACCTGGTCATTCCAGCATTTAGCAGTCAGGTGGAAGAGGAAGAATCAGCAGAGGAGACTGAAGACAGGCCCCAGGGGGTGGGAGACCAGGGGAGCATGGTATCCAGGAAACCAAGACGTGATGTGTCTCAGGAGATGGGCAGGTGTGTTGGACAGAGGTTAGAACAGATGTGGGCATTGGATTTGGCCACCTGGAGGCCTGGACAGAGAAGTGTCAGTGAGTGGCGGGGACAGGAGCCTTGTCTGGAGGGGGAGATTCCTGGCTGGTGGTTGGGGGGCAAGCACAGGGAAGCATTTGGAGTCTCTTGGAGGAGCAATAAGTGGAGAGGACTGTGAGGATGTGGGGAGGGTGTCTGTTTTAAGATGGTTTTAGAGCATGAGTGTAAACTGATGAGATGATCTAGGACGGGTTGGTAAACTATGGCCCATGGGCCAAGTCTGGCTGCCACCTGTTTTATAAGTGAAGTTTTATTGGAACAGTCACACCCCTTTGTTTCTGTATTGTCGCTGGCTGCTTCTACTCTTCAATGGCAGAATAGTTTAAGGGAGACCATGTGCTCACAAAGCCTAAAATATTTACTACCTGGCCCTTAGGGGAAAAAAAGCATGCCCTTTCCTAGTGTCGAAGGGATGGAGACCAGACTAGAATCTGGTCTTTGAGGGAGGGAGCGGGGACACTGCTTCCCGCAAACTGTGCACGGAGACCAGAGGAAAGGCAGGACACCCAGGAACAGGTGTGGTATCAGAGTCCTCAGCTGAGGGAGAGGGAGGGTGTGGGTGGGGTCATTCTAATGCACACGGGAATGTTGTTCTCACTTTGGCCCTTCCACTTAATCCTCATTTATTTTGGGCTGTTGGGAAAGCTGCCATGGAAATCTGTGGTAGGAAAAGTTGTGGCCACAGGTTTTTCCTTTTGCTTTTTCCTTGGTATTTGTCAAACCTGAGTACTTTTCTCATATTTCTTGTATTAGTACAATCATGAGAAGTGTTTTCGTTCTTCTCTTAAATTTTCTTTCCTCTAACTTTTCTCTCTTTTTGAATTTTAGAATAATTTAGAGCTGATATTGTCCTTAGGTCTTTTAGTTATTTTCATGG